AACCTCGTAGCAATGTAGGATGGGATTTTCCCGCTAAAAAGCTCAGATGCTTATCAGGACAAAAGGTGTTTCTAAACATAATTTCCTCTGTTTTAACCGCTGCAAAAGCGTAAATACGTCTTCATTAGCTTATCCTTGTGTTTTCCATTTTCTTAATGCCCGCAATGGACAGCCCTAGCCAGAGTCCAGAGAAGAAAAGGTGATAAATTCACTGAAATTCTGTTTCTTATTTGGATAATTCATTAACACAGGATATTAGATCTAAAGCGGTGACTATTGACAACTATTCATCACCATTCACCACTTTTCACGACTGTTCACCACTATTCGCACTATTTGGGACTATTCGCCATTTGCGACTAGTCGCTATTTGCTATTCGGGTTTTCCAGACACCCAAGCCACAAATGTCATCAGTTGTCATAAAAACCTTGCACTGAAGTAAGATGTTTTCATAGAAGGCTGCATCATTTAGAAATCACTGCCTTGAAGGTTGACTAACTAGCTCATTTGGCAACCAAGCTTCATTTTGTTGTATTCCCAACACCATAATAATTTTCCTGAACAGATGCTATTGAGCCACTCGACCAGTAGGCGACATCGCATCCAAGCATTTTAATACCTCACCGACTTGTTTTACTATCCAGTTGTGTGTTTTGTTCAAACAGTGACAACAATTTTTTTCTCCGCAACAAAATCTTATATTAATTATTTCTTTTCCATGCCATGGTACCCAACAGAACATTGATTTTTTGCATTGTTGTTTTACTATAAGTAAAGCACCAGCTGGAGCGATTGATTGCGTGACAGAGTAGGTCAGTTGTGACATCTTACAGCTGTATTTTGTATCAAATTTCACCCCGATTCCGATCACATTACGATCGCAGGCTTTTTTTGAATACTCCGTTAGAGGGCATTCCAAGAAAGAGTGTGGTGTATCTAGTCGGTACAAAGACCAGACAGCACCGTACTATTAAAGACCTCTAGCTGTTATAAACCACATCCATGGGTGTTGAAGCAGAATGGAAACTTTGTTCGTTTGGCGAGGCGGGAGATTCTATTTGCCCCCTTCACATCCCTGCGACTTGTTCCTGAAAACGCTTCATGTGAAGAGTGAACTGTTCATGGGACAAGTCCCTGCAACCAGTCCCTTGGTGTAAACTCTTCAGGGGACTAGTTGCAGGGACTAGTCCCCTTGTGTGTGCCGACCTTAAAACTCAAGCTGACCATTTGACTGCAAAACTATCATCCGCTATCACTGGCTGTGAATAAAAATGCCATCAATTTTCATTCAGTTTGAACTTAATGAGTTTTTCGGTCAACTGTTTCCCCTCAAATCCTGGTAGGCTCCAATTTTTGCTCCATAACTAAGCAGAGCTGAAATTGTGGAAAACCTTGAAATTGGTAAAAAAAAAAGGAAGTTTATATCCGGGGGGTACTCTCATATAAATAGGATGGGGTGCTTATCGTACCTTTGAGGGGTTTAAAAAATGGTTATCGTACCTCTTAGGGTGTTCAGCCTTAAAAGGTCCACAGCGGAAACTTTCGCGGCACCTTTTTGGGTATTGAGCTGAAAAAAATATGACAGGACATATTTGACAATCAACTGATTTTTAATTTTGTTGCATTTACACCAGGAATTCTCATTTCTTCAATAAATGAGTGTGCATTCAGTTTAGATAACGAGGCTTTTAAGTTAACCGCTACTGAATTATTGCCTTCATTGCTATTAGAAATTATGCTGAAACTGTCAGTTAATTTGCTGTTTTAGAATTGGTATCTCTTAGGGGTGGAAAAAAATTTTAAGTCTCGCACACAAAACAGGATCTTGCTACTTCTTAGCGGTTTTTTTCAAAATTTACAATGAGCGCCCCCGTCCTTTTTACATGGGAGTCCCCCCTCCAGAGCTTATATTTTCCTAAATATCACAGGAATAATAAATCCAGTGGAACATGTCTAGAAACCGACCGATCCCAAAAACTAGACAGCTCTGAATTCCCGATTGGGTCGAGTAAAATGTAACAAACCGTCTCATTCCTATGCAAATAAAAGTTCGTGCTTGAAAAGTTTGTCTGACTTTGAGCACAACGCCATATCACACAGCAGGAGTATTGATTAACACTCAATCGAGTTTTCGATCAATCCGGTTAGATTTGTCACGAATCTGGATAGAGTTGTACCAAGCACTCAGGAGAGTCTTGAGGGACTGGGTACTAGTCTTAAACAAAATGGTGCCGGAAGGAACAAAAATTTATGGAAAAAGTGCAGTAGCCCTTCCTTTAACCAGATGATTGCATCTTTAAGCCTTACGAATTGCTTTTGGTCATTGAACCTCATGCCAGGTAGAAATGAAACTAGTGGCTCAGAGGTTTGTCCTTCTTCTGGATCAATTTGTCTGTGAATGTAAGCTTGCCGCTGGTCAATGAGGTATGTTGCGACTTCTGTGTGGCTTGATTATCTGCCTTCCTCGTGGTAAGACTGTTATATCAAAGGCACTTTATAACAAGATAACTGATTAACATTCACAGCTATAATTGTAAAAGTTAAATGTTAATATGGATTGGAATCTGGTGCTGTGTTACCACCTAATTATGTAACCCTACAAAGAATTTGAATAAAATCTGAGATGATTGATGCAGACTTATATTTTAATACTGCATGGTTTTCAGATGGATGCTCTCTTAAAAGAAAAGTCAATCTAGCTAAGCTAGGTAGACTTTAAAAATAATGGAATGATGTTTCGAGACAAAAAAACATCTTGTTTCAGCTTACCTGTGTTGTGTTGCTTGCGAAAAGCCCTAGTGCAAAATGAGTCATGAAGACCTTCCCTCAAAACAAATGTTGCAACTCCATTTGGAGGCAAATGAAAACAGTGTGAGCTCCAAGTTTTAAAAAAAGGCACTGTCGAGTGTCTGAAAAATCCACGAATACCAAATACACTCACTGACAGATGTTCGCTGACGAAAAAACCAACAGACAACTTCGCTGTACACACTCAAGCCCGCTGTGTTATCAGTGGTTGAGCTCTAAGCTCAAAGTGTTTTATGTATCTCTAAGTTTTTTATGTATCTCAAAACATTGTGTTGTGTGTAGGATGCACAGAGCCCCCAATTTGATTTTCATTTTTTCCTTTCTTTTTCGTTGTTTTTAGCAATACAATAAATAAATGCTTTGTAATTATATCATTTTGCTCGCTGTATGCGCATTTACTGTACCATAACCGTACTGTGCTTCAACGACTTCAGTTTCTGTAAAATCCGTACGAGGTTCAGATCGATTGAGAACTTGTGTGATTCATCGATTTTACAATTCTTGATGTTCTCATTTTTGGCAGCCAAGGCTTCTTTAAGCTTATATCTTTTAATTTAGACCTTTAAAACAGCTTCTTTTAATTAAAGATGGAGAGCAATTTAAAAGTAGGCCACAAGCGTACCTCATTTGCATAATGTTTACAGCCTAACGAGCTGTAAACAAGTTTAATATGTAAAATCTATTTTTCCAGGCAAGTTGACTAGATGCTTAAAATTTAGTTGTCATGAACGTTTCCAACAATTGCCATTTTGTGAAAGGTGAATTGATCAACATGACAAAGAAAATATCTGAGTCCCCGACAGGAATTGAACCCATGACCTCCTGAACACTGGGTAGGCACTCTATCCTCTGAGCTACGAGAACTCATGGAGAGCAAGGTCATTTAATTGAGTTTGTATGTGACAGGCGTCCTGCATACTGCTAGGATCAGCACTGTCAAAGTCATCATGAGTAGTGATATGTGAATGGAGATGGCGAATTTTAAGATCGGTAATCAAATGTGACAGGTGAATTGATCAACATGACACGAGCATGGGACAAAGAAAAATTCTGAGTCCCCGACAGGAATCGACAGAGCTAAGAATACATGTAGCTGCTGCAAAGGATGGACTTGTGTTTTAAAGCAAGTCAAACACAGTACCAGTCAAATCTATGTTGATACTATTCACTCTAACTCAATCCTCTTTTTCAATGAGAATCAACAACCAAGTTTTGAGGCTTCAGTTCAAGTTTCAAGTATTGAAATTGGAGTTTTGAGATACAGCAAGAATTCAGAAAAGGGATTTTTAGAAAACAGTTTAATTCCTGAATTTGGAACAGCAATGAACAATATCATGTTTCTCTTGGCTTGAATCTTTCATGCAAGTGTACGAACAACAAAAGTCTCTGAACTGGAATTCAAATCTTGTATAGCAATCACACTACATTCCTTGTAATGGCAAAAACAAAATGCATAAACCAAAATAAAACATAGCCTGTGAAGCATGGAAATACAATATTTTCATCTCTTTCCATTGAAATCTCAGAATGTATCAAATAGCAAGTTGCCTACCACATGCAAATTTTACAGGTGTTATTAATAAATCAATAAACAAAAAATAACAGACAATGAGCTTTTGCAGCAAAAAGTCATTTATAACATTCTTATTGAGGGAACTTGCTCATTTCTACATTAACAATGACTCAATGAAGAATTGCATCTCTTTTACATTGCTCACAGTAAGAGTAGGCTTATGGATTCAAAAATGGCTTTTTGTGTATCACAAAATACCCACAAAAACCTCATTTGTCCCAACCAAGCTTTTCTGTTTCAGTGACATGATTTTATACCTAGCACTCCATCCGAGTGTGCCAAAAGAGATCTTTGTGGTGAACTGCTAGGTAGTTCCTTGAAATGAAGCAAAGTGCAGTTTTATTTTCAAATCTGACTGAAAGTTAATCAAGCATTCATTTCTTTGTTTTCTTGTCTCAAACCTTTAACTACTTGACTCAAAACTTATTCATTAAACTTCTCGACTCGAAACAAGAAGCTCTCACATCTAGAAACAAAGTTTTGGGGATCGAGGATCAACTTCAGTTGTTGACTTTCAACCAATATTTGACCAGCACTATACATGTACAGTAGATAAATGCTATGAGCTCTTTTGATGTGTTTAATGGTTTTAGTGTCATGCTACTGTAGGTCGGATACCTCTTCATGTGGCTCAGTGATCTGAAGAATCATACTTCTACCCTTGCTGTGCATCTGGAAAACCTTAACATTGGCCTTCTTGAGTTCTGCCTGTTGAAAGAAAACGACTAATTTTATTTTGATAATAATATCATAACAGACAAATAAAGTAGGTTTGTGGGCTAGTTCCATGTTGGGTTCATTTTTAAACAGGTACAGTATCAACCAACCAATGATGTAACACACAACATGGCATGCTTGTCTTGGCCTGTGTATAACTGTTCTATTTCCTACCTACACTGGAACAAGGTAGTAAAACAACAGTAATGGTGTTCTGAAATAATCTGATTGAATAACTGTGTACATGTATCTTGCAAAAGTGTACCACACACAAAAGAAACATGTTCAAGGTGTCACCGCTTGACAGGACAGTATCCTGGGCAATATATATGTATATTTTTACAATACTACAAAACCTACACTACCACTATCAGACTACCTACAACAATCAATTAGTATGTTGCGGTAATGCAGTCCTGTTACAATAATACAAAAGGTATTACACTGCCTAAGGATAGATACAGTGTGTAACCGTCTACGTTAGACATTAGTGATGTTTCTGTCAGATCATATTTCAGAACCTCGTACGTCAGTTTTACCATTCGTCCGTGTGCATGATCTGTTATTGTGCTGGTGAAGTTTGTTGCATTTATTGCGAAGTGTTTTGGATCCTGCGTTTCTAACTACTCAGGCGTACAGAGAGGACAATCTGTAAGCATGTTTTTACCTTTCTTAGTTTCATTTGGTCAGTTTATTTGTACTTTAGTTGTTTTTGCCTTTTCCTGCGTTCGTGTGTTTATCATATCCGATTATTGTTCAGCTTTGTTGTTTCGTGTCGCTTAGACTAGATATTTTACTTGCATTTTAGTTTGACAGTTTTGAGCATTGGATCATTGTAATAAAGATAATCGTTGGAATGAACACGAAGTCTAGTGCTCTTGATCAGTGCTTCGACGTCCTGCAATTTGTAATTCTGAACTTGTGGTAATCACACCTGGAGTCAGTTACACAGTGTAAATGTACAGTTCTAGTTTGTTGGAGTAAAGTTAATACAGAAGAAACTATTCCCTAAAACTTAGCAAAAACAAATGAACAGCAAAAAAGAGAAGAAACTGTAACATAGCTTTTCTACATGTAGATTAAATTTGATGCTTTCTGCTGCAAAAATCAATTAGTGACTTGTAATATGTAAAAAACATAGATGTAGCAGTAGCAATGTGCTAATTTTATAAAAATTAAATTTATAGAATTGTACCGTGTGTGGAACATGATACAAAGTGGGGAATCCAGGATAGTACACATCAAGTTTGACTCCCTCACATAGACCTGCAACAAAAAAAAGATTTCATAAATTACATATACATGTATGTCCCATGGCTTGAAATCAAAAGGCTTTTAAACCAACTCTTGATATTTGAAACACAGGTTTCATGTAATACTTCAATTATGACAAGGGTGGTCAAAAAGATTTTGAGGAGATTGCATGATTTACAAACTTTTCTTGTGTTCTTCCAACATCCCTCGTCGGTTATTACCCCTATGAACCCATAGAAAGTGTGGTCTTTTGCTTATGTATACCACTTGGAAATAAAAAAAATGTTGCATAACTAGTATGTTTTTGCACAGACTGAACAAATTTACAATTTTAATCAGGAATTAACAGCAAAGAGCAGCTGCATGCATATCTTGAACAAAATAAATGTCTGTTAGTAAGTTCTGTCCATGAGATGCAATTTTCAGATCAAAAAGTTGAACATTTTGCTTTTTTGTCCAGAATAAATTTGATGTGGCTATGAAAACATGGACAGGTTGAAAACATCATACCTTGATGCATGTGCTGTACATCAACATGAAAGACATCTTTATTGAGCACTTCACACCTACAGTTCAAATGCACACAACATTTGGCCCGTGTGAGCAACAATTGATAATAGTTTAATTAATCAAAATAATGACAAGGCACTAAACATCCACAAGCCAAGTGGAACAAGAACAATGATGAATAATCACCACCATCCAATCAAAGTGCTAGTGATTTTCCCAGTGACTGATGACTGCCATGAGCTCAACTTTGCATAGTATGGAATAACTCCTTTTCATAGTCAAATGGCTTTTTAAGCCAACTCAAGATATTTGAAATGGTCATGTTATTACAAGGGTGCTTAGGGAGGTCAAAAAGATTTTAAGGAGTTTGTCATGGTTGCATGACACAGCATTTATTTAACAGCAATCATCAATTCACAGATAATCTTTAAGTTTATTTAGGTGGAACACTAGAGCTGTTTTGATTGTTACGACTGTTACGAGTTCTAACGAAAAACTGAATGCGTTATGTACACAGTACTTCAGAGATAAATAACTATAATCAACTTAATTTCTTTCAAATGAGACCAAATCCACATTTATTCTACGTCTTCTTTCCTTTAGAATTACCCTATCAAGTCAAGGGCTATTCTGATATTGACGTTTCTGTCCTAGGACTTGAGTTATTACAAACATCTTTGTTCCTTCACTGCACTAAAAACCCCGCAGCGTCGAGGAATAGAAATTACTTGGACACAGAACCACACCCCAAACTGACCAAAATGGTGAGTCCCTAAGGTTTTAGGACAAACCATGCGCTTTGTAGTCAGAAGACTTTTATGAGCACTAGTACGTGCCCAGCGATCTCTTAACCTCAGAGGAGAGTGAGAATGAAAAACCCAACCAGCACCCAAAAAATCCATGAATAGATGACATGGCCAGTAAAACAAGTCTTTGGTGGGAATATTGAGTGATTTCTAGCAGAAAACAACTGCCATTTGAATCCTTAGTTGCTTACTGTTCGAGTCATTTAAGCCCGTGGTAATCATCAATCAATCAGCAGTTTCGACCAAACTGTGATGAATTAATAGCTGTATTCCCCCATGCCTAATACATTATTACAGGGTGGCGCAGTGGTATGGTTTCAGTCAGGGAATCTGAAGCTGGAATGAAGGGTTGGAAGTTCAAATCCTGGTGTGGGCAGCTTTTTTTCTCCAAGCTACTAAGGGATGGTTTGCATTTGTAAAGGGAAAAAAATGTTCAAGCAATAAAAGTAAAGTAATTATGTAAAACAAATGGGACGAAAATTATCGAAATTTGAAATAATTCTTCGTGGAAGAAAAACACTTCTTGAGTGAAACTCTCGCACATGATTTTTGGCAAAGTTTCAGTTGAAAGCCGCTGTCAAAGCTATCGATGGATCGAATTAAATATCCACCTTTGTTGCATACCAAATAGTCTTTACTTTGGGGCACTTGTTCGACTCCAAACATGCAAGATCAGTTTATCGCTTTGGTAGCCATTCTGTTCACAATGGTTGGCCCTCTTGTGAAATACCCTGGTCAGCAGAATTACCACCAAAAAATTGTTTACAACCTATGGACTGACTGACTGACTGACTGACTGACTGACTGATTGACCGAGCAAGGTATATTATTTCTTCCCCAACTAACAGCTATAACTCATCCTAGCTACGCTCTGCTAGCTATCACCCATTAAAAACACTAACTTGATAAGGAGCAAAAATTACAAGAAGCAATGAAAATTACTCTGCGGTAAAATTTCACAAAAATCTTTTCTCCGGGTTTCATACCTAGAACAAAAAGGTTAGTTAAAAATAAGTCCGCAATGCGTACTTGTGGGCTTATGACTAGTTTTATTCATTGGGTTGAAGTATTGCAGTCTTATGAGTAGGCAATTACCAGAAATATAAAAGCACAATAATAAGTGAGGTTCATGCTAGGGACGTACTTGAGTCTGCTCTTTAACTACCCAGCACTTCTGTACCAACTGATTTATTCAATATTTTCTCCACAAACAGTACAGTTGTTAGTGCAGCGCAGTGGAGATGACATCTGCCTTGTGAGTGAGAGGCTATGAGTTTAACTCCTAGTGAAACCAGAACTTTTTCTTTTTTTTTTACTATTTTTTTTCCTTTTTTCTCTTTTACTTATTTTTAACCTGGAGATTGCATAAGCAATCTATAGGGTTTTAGCTGTGGTGCAGATTATGCAGATGATATGCACATGATGTCCTTCTATTATCCGTAAAGTTTTTGGAGTAATTCTGTTCACTAATAGATAAAGCTTCTGAAATCACTGTATGAGTCAACATTGCAGGCGCATGTATCGTTTCACATTTCTGGGTTAGAGTGTAGAATACCAGGCCATTCATTTAGATCTCACTGAATTTGAATGGTTCACTTTGTTTCTATATGCTTTGTTCTTAGAAGCATTGAGGGATATGTTAACTAGGGTATCTAAAAGATAGTAATGCTGCGGCACATTCTGTTGATAGTGACATATTTAATCCCATGATTAATCTATCTGCGCATTTCAAGACTCAAATTAACTGTTATTTCTCAAAGTAGTGTCAAATCGTGGTGTCACTTAAAGTCTGTCCTTGTATGCATCAACTTCATGCATGATGACGCATCGATGGCGAGGTGTGACAAAGGATCGAGACAAAAAAGCACATTGTTATCTGAAGTATGTTTGGACATAAAACGATACACATCAGCCTCCCCTTTACCAGATCGCAAAAATCGAAAGATGTGGAAATTGTAGGAGCAGAAATCTAAGTTATAAATTCTGTACTGGTACACATTAAATATCTCTAGAACTTGACAGACTGTGTAGAGAACGTATTCATCGCGATGTGTGAAAATGCTCAAGCTTTAGCTTAAATTCATGTTTCAATGAAAAGGAATAGATTGCAGCATATATGAAATCAGCGTGTTCCACGGTTTTTGTTTGTTTTAATTATTCTACAGGCTTTAGTAACGACGATTTCTCTTCATTTAAGAATTCGACGAAGGAGGTGAGACTGCTGAGAAATGACATACTAAGATTAAGATGTCACAATTAATCGTCCAGATTTACAAACTTTCACATACCGCATAGCAAGAGTTGTAAAAGTCAAGCACGATCTCCTTCACATCGCTTTACAGGTAAATCAGAGCAAACTTTCTCAGTGGAATCCACGCGAAAAAGGATGACGGCTCAACGAGTATGACATCCTCTTGTTGTTCGAGGCGCAATGCACTCCAGTAAAAGTGGCGCAGTGCAGTCTGGTTAACTGCAATGCATACTGGTAAAAAGTGATGAATTCGAGAATTCGTACCCCCTTCTATATATTCTTCTTAAATCCTGATTATGTTGCTGCTCGCTCGCTACGCTCTTTCCGCAGCAATAAGTGGACCAGTGTTGTAAAATCGCATTTCTCGGTCAAGGTATCACGTGACTGCGATTGTTTTACCAAAAATGGAAACTTGTTTTGTTTGCTTTCTGGGTATTGTTCATTGGGCATTTCTACAACAATTAACCCTAACCCTAATGCCAATTTGTGAGTATTTGAAACTTATTGCTTCAGCTTATAACTAAAAATATAAATGTCTCATATGTCTTCCCTCTCTGCTTCACAGTTTTTTTCTGGCAAAAAATCTTACCAGCTAGAAAATATTTGTAGTGGATGAAAGGTTTCAGCTTTGTACATATTGCCTAATGACTGACCTACAAAGAAACATTCCAAAGCAATTCTCTGTTTTCCAATTGCCCATAATTCACCCTGTTTGCCCCCCANCCCCCCCCCCAAATTTTGCAAACTGAGAAAAATACTTTCACACTATGCAAAAGATCTTACCTGGCATGACAACAGGAAATGTCAGGAAATTTTCCAGGCAATGATGAAGGGCAGAAAAAGCTGAGGTTTGGGTCATATGTGTAAAGCAGGCAAGGACCATGGTTGTTACGGGTCATTTCCTCTTCAGTTAACCTTGAATACAGAGGTGACATAGCATCGAGTAGCCTCCGCTGTCAAGTACAACAATGTATTCAATTTCAAAATAATTATAATGCAAATACAGTGCAAACACAAATTTTATTCACAATTCAAAATTAAACAGATTTGGGATACATTGTATTACATGTAGCTGATCCAATTTCCGTGAACACTAACTTTTCTGAGTGAAATGGAGCAGTAAAACAGAACAGTAAAGGAATTAAATACACTTCCTATAATAGCGCAGCTTTGGCGGCCGAGAGGACGACCAAGTGGAGCCCCATACTCATATAGGAAAGAAAAGGAAACCCAAAAGTTGATCTTCTCATGGTTATCGTGGCTAGTGGTATTGCTCATGGGCGCATACGCATGACAACAGCGACAGCGACAACTGAGTCGCACAACATGGCGGCCATATTCCAAATAATAGGTTGACAGACACATACAGCCTTGGTTCACCATGTACTTCTTTGATATTGGACATCCATGTTATGATCAATTGGCACCTGACAAAACAAGGTATCCGCTGACCAGTGTCATGTAAACATATTGTGGGCTATAGTTTACAGCTCATCGAGGTAACATTTTTTTGAAGTTGACCACTGACCAAGTGTTGGTTTACCGATTGGATTGCAGGCTCATGTCACGTTAACTTGTTGAAAACAGGGCAGGATTGTTCAGAAGCCGGTTAACGCTAACCCAAGATTAAAAGTTAACCGAATTACAACTTTTTCTTCTACTGACAAATGTTTTTTGCTGCTATGTTTTGTGTATATGGTGATTATTAAAACTCAAAACAGAAGGCCAAACAATATACAGAAAACCTCAAGGCAAAGTTACAAGACTCAAATCAAAATTCAACCTTTTCCTGTTAGCTTAATCAGGCTCTGAACAACCCAGACCAGGAGCTCTGCTTTTAGGCTGGCCTAAATCTCTATATTAAAGTACATTGCTATTCATTTTTTAAACACTAAATTGAAGTCAGATAAAGTGGTTAATAACATCTATTATGACTGGAACTCATGTTTAAAAAATGAAACAAGTAAGTAGAAAATTACCTAATCACAGTTTTAGCATATTCCTACTCAGCAAACTTCAAGACGCCACAAGACAAAACATCTTGACATGCATATGCAACACAGCAAGACAAACCTCATCAATAAATGGAATCAGGACCACAGCTTCCCATTCTTGCTGTTTACCATTTAAATCAGTCTTGAAATTCAGAGGATAATATTCAATAATATCCGACTGCTCCATGATCATCAAGTTCTGTAGGAACAAAAAACATATGTTACNCTAAAATTAACCGTTTAATTTCGCATCACATTGAAATCCACCTTTGAAGGATCCGCTCCAAAAGATGCAGCTTGGAAAACTGAGTGTTTTTGCATACGTTATTTCTCGAAAAAGAAGAGCATATCAACAAAAACAATTACGCAACGTTACATCTAGGTCTCATGTCTCGATCATGCATGGTTGATTCTTCAGTCGGTTTGTGGCCATAATTTCCTTTCAGTTGAGCCTTGGTAAACTTGAGGGGCAGTTATCTTCGAACTAATGCAGACATCAGAACAAGAGGTGATTTGAAGATGAATTGCTCGCTTTGATCTAGAGGTAATTTCTAGAACACACCTGGTTGAATCATGTGGTGTTTGACTAAAACGCAAAAGGTTACAATAATTCTAAGAAAAGGTAACAAACAGAATCAAAAAGATAAAGACAAACAACTTGCAGATATTTCCTCCTATTGATGTGAACTGGTAGATTGAAGTAACTGATGAACTGAAACTTGATGCAATCGACACAATTGCTGCATGATATACTGATGTACTGAACAAAAATCTCATGCAACGAATCACATGTATTTCACACGTATGTATTTTAATTAACGTATTTAATGTAGTAGTATGAATATACACAACCCCACAAATCCACAAGCTTTGTAACTTCAATTCTTATCATGTTGAAATAGAGGTTTCATGATTATATGTTTATGTTACAATCAACGAGTTAAATTTTAAATCAATTGTAATGCACGTAGGGAAAATGTCAGGTAGGTTTGAATCCTACCTACCGGTCTCTTGATGCGAACTGAAAGCATTTTAAGTGGTACTGTGATCAAATTTTTACACCTTGATGTTTTAGGTGTATCAGATAGAACTCCATGAAAGAACAAAAACGCTGTTTACCATTTGCAAACATCTGCATTAGTTCCAGAGATATGTAAGGTTGAAAAATGTCTAAAATATACAAATGAGATGACTGATGACATCATACACTCAGCCCAACTTTACGTTAAGTATATGAATAGAGCTATCTTGGCCAATTTGCAGCACAGACAATTGAAACTTGGCAGGCTAATAGTTCTACAGAAAACACACCTATGGCTATAAAAAATTCTGTTCCCATGGCAACTCACTCTTTTCCAGTCCCCACCGACTTGATTTCAATGTTAGTGATTTTCAGCTTGAAAAAAGTTAACCTAGGCCACGAACTCGACGTAACATATTTATACGCTTGCTGGGTCATGTATATGAGACACCATTAGCAAATATCAAAGTGGAATGCCAAAGGTGGCCAGAAAAGCCTTTAATATTGGGGAGGTCTGGAACTCAGTGTGTTGCCAAGGTAATAAAACTGTTAAGCTTGCATTGTGGAGCACATTTAGTAGAATCATACCACAAAGAATCAAACATTTCTGATACAAACTGGCTGAGATATCTTTCTTCATCACATTTGATCAAAATTTGGTTGAGTGTATGACGTCATCACTTAGCTAATTTGCATATTTTAAAAACTTGAATATCTCTGGAACGAAAAGAGGTATTTGAAAAAAGTAAACAGCATATTTCTTTTCAAACAACAGACTACTTGTTTATGTTTTAAAATGGCTTAGATAGGAAAGATGCGATTTTCGTAATAGTACCACTTTAAACTTACTTGAGTGATTCAACCAGAAAAACTTGAGTAATATATTGTCACTAAATCCATTTGAAATGGTTCATCACAATCAAGTCAATAAAGAAACAACTGTTCTCTGACGTTAACAAGCAAACTTCTTGGTTGAGGACGTCAGTCTGTCTTCTACTTGAAAATCCATGGGGAAGAACACAAAGAAGAATGCAACACAAGCAACAAGTGGGTCGTAAGTGTGTGTGGGCATGATATGCAAAACCGCGAGACGCCCACGCTACTCACAGCTTGCGGCACCACTCACATGTCACACTTGCAGTCACACTTGTTTTGCATTCTTCACTGCATTCTTCCCCACGGATTTCTGAGCAAAAGAGAGACTGCTCGCAGTCTATTGAGTACATCAAGATCAACAATGTTTAGCTGCTCTCATGGAATCTAGGAGCCTCTAGAAGAATTATCTTGTCAATGGGAAGTTCCAGGCCCGTGGACTTGGTTTTCAGCCTGACTCTCCTCACAAGCCCGTCTCTCTTGTTTGGTCTCCAGTTTCAAAGTAACACCTTTATCTTTGCAGTGATTGCCTTCTCACTTATAGCAATAAAACTCGCAGACACTGACTTGTACAAACAAACTCCAACTGAATGGAATAAAACTAAGCATAGGCTGAAAAGTATGCATTGCGGACCTATTTTTAAGATATTAAAATGCCGCTGAAGAGACTAAAAAAAAGACAATTCCAAACATTTATAACAAGTCTGACACATGCCACCAGATTGGCTTCTTCTTTGTTTATTCAGACCATGAGCAAGAGTCATTGATTCATCAGTTTTAACTGAAATTACTCATGCATGAAAAACAAGTAAACAGCGCTAGTTAATTGCGACATGCGAGCAGCTAAGACTCATTTCATTCAAAACTTCAAGTAATGCAAAAAGCAAAGCCTTGATAAAATGTTAGTGCATACCAAAGACTATGATTCCTTGGTTGATTATCGAATTTTGAAATCTTTTGAAACCAATCTCCAAAGTCCTGGGCTTAACCACAGTAAACACAGCATCGGAGATGTCAGATTAAGGCCAAGACAAGAATACTTGTTTCTGTTTATTGGTTGTTTATAGTAGCCCCAATAAAGTTATCATCATCATCATCATCATCATCATCATCATCACCATCAACATCACCATCATCATCATCATCATTATTATTACTATTATTACTATTAGTATTATCTTGATAAACTCATTCATTGAACACACATTGTAATTCATGATGAGTGGAAGAAAGGCAAAGCTTGGAATGATGTTGTCAAGCCCATACCCAAACAATACCCCAGGCTATCTGAATCAAAGTACATATAAGAGGCAATAATTATTAGCCTTCATCTTTAAATGAGGATTTGTTCTGTTTTGCTGTAATTTTTTCAGCTAAAGAACAGTAAAAACTATGCAATATGTTACATGAAATGTCCAATCTTTCCAGGAGTCAATGGTTAAATTAACAAAATAATAAAATTAATTAATACACACATTTACCTCACCTGGAAAGGTTTTGGGAGAAGCTGTCTACTAGCAGCAGGCAACACAGCCAACAGTTGTTCAAAGGGAAGGAAAGGAGTTCCCAGCTCAAACTTTATTTCTAGTTCACTGAATTTCCTAACATCTGACATATATGGAGCATAATGGAAAGGATAAAACCTACAGAAATGACACACAGTATGCAACACTTGAACATTTCATTCCTTTGATTTAGTCAGCAAGTCTGTCAAGTCTATCAGCATAACTAAAATTTTAGATTTAAAACATGATCTCCAGCCAGTTAAATAGATTCTCTTTATGTCACTTGGACTTAATGCAGAACAAAAACAATCATACCAACTCCAAGATGGCACTCCACAGAAATAGTAAAGCAGAATCCATTGGATTCCTTGGACATACTGGAAAGTTAGCTCAGCTAGTACACCACTGAAAAGGTAATGTACTATGTTAATAAACCTAAGTGCACCTGTACAGTATGCTGCAACTTAATAAAATCATAGTTATCTACACGCAATCTGAAACAATCTATAGTTTCTGTTTTCAATCGAAAAAATGGGTATCAGATGCTGATGGCCAACACTGATGTCAGAATGCAGATCAATAATTTCAACATAATTCTATCTTAAATTTTCAACACTTACATGTACTCTCTGTATTCTCCTTGAAGTGTCACCTCCAGCATAATGAAAGGTAATAGATACTGTAGGCTTAAAATTCAACCTAAGATTTTGTGACATGCTTTTCGTGTGATTCCTTTGATTTGTTATTGATATAACCGACCGATTTAAATTTAAAATGAACCCACATGAAACAAGAAATACGAAATTTATTCAGCATCTTTTATGTTATTACTCTGGACTGAGAGCAAGTCATAAATTTTTTGCTGAAGTTCATTCTTCGCTTTTTTGGCAAGAACTGTTGTTAGCTTTTATTTACTCATTTTAGATTTTTAGTGTGGTTTTTAGTTTGGTCATCATACAACAGAAAGGGGAAATATTGCCTGAGCCCCCAAATAATGGTTGCAAAAGAAACTAGTTTTCACCTTAATTAATTATAATAACTTTAAACATCATACACCTTCCACAGCTACTCATTAGAGGGTTTGTTTTTGTTTCCTGAAGTAGTATTCTAAACTTGCCTGGTAATTTCTTCATATCCAAACTTTTGCATGTAGTAGTCTCTCTTGAACATTGCAAACTCAGTGTCAAAGATGTCTTCATCATCACCTAGTAGGTCTTCATCAAATTTTGCTGCAAGCTTTTCAAGTTCTGGATTCGTTTTACTTTTTGCCTCTTTTCTTTTTGTAGCAGTAGACTCTCCAGGAATTAAATCTAAAGCAGCAAAACTGTTGTCCAAAGTCAGCAATGAGTCATCATTCTGGGGTAAGCAATAGCAAGTACATTAACAGCTAACTTACATTATGATTAACAAATATATGCACTAACTTTAAATAAAATGTAACAATTCTCTGATCGTATTACAACCAAATGGCTGACAGATAAACTATTAATAACGTTAACTGATGAAGCTTGGTATAAGTTTGCAGGACATGCAGTCAAACGACAAAAATTAAAAAAATAAGTGTTTTCAAGTACACTATTTAATTGTACTTAGTCATTCAGGCAATGACTTTGAAGTGAAGATATCTTTTGGATTTTGGAAGACTCAATCCATTAGAGAGTTTTTAATTGATTAAATTCTGTGCATGCTTTAATTTAACACCCCCTCTTTATCTTTTAGCACATATTACATGTGTTATGTCATTATCGCTCTCCGACTCCCTATATATAATTTTTACCCTCAACATTGAACTTGAGAATGACCGAAGAGTGATCAAAACGTTGTTGTTTTTACCTGTAATTTTAACTGTAATTTTTTTGGCAGTGATAACAACACAAGATAACATTATTACAATTTCATATTTAGAGATGTTTACATGAAGTGTTTGCCCCAACGAGAAAATCTGTAAGTGTAAAAACCTATACAACTGTATATTTAAGTACTTAGAGTCACTGATTGTATTACATGTAGGATATTGTGTTGATGAAAAGGACGTTCTTTTACAGGTACTTGACATGGATTCAGTTTGAGATAAGATAACCTTAACCATTTTATTCCTGGTCACACATCAGGAAAGAAAAATTTCATTTTCACTATAATTATATCCTGATACCCATCACTTCTGAGAGAAAATCAAAAACTGACTGAGTAAAAATTACAGATAGTGTAAGTAATTATGACACTATGTACCTGCAGTTCCTCTGGCTTATTTCCAAATGTGAAACCCTTCTTACTTTCAAACCATTTCATGTCAACAAACTTCTCTTCAAATTGGTCTCTGTCAAACTATGAAAACAAAAGAGACAATCTCAGACAGTGCAGAGTGTAAGGTAAAGCTCTCACGTAGTACTCAACACGCAGTTCTCATATAACCCCTGCCGCATGTGACAATAATTATTACTTTTCACCCCAACATTTGTGACTTGATACTTTTGTTTTCCTCGCAAAGGTATGTAACATGAAACTCGTTTTCTCAGAAACTCAGGGAAGATGTGCTTGTATTTTTTTTCACAACTGGAGATAAATAAATGAAAGTTGAATGTCGGATGAGGAAATGAAAGAGGAACAATTTGTTAATTTAACGTGCAAATTTTCTTTTCACCAATAAACAAGAACTAATCTAATTATCAAATTGTCATGGAACAGCACATTCTGTTACCACCTTTGGCATTAACAATACAACCATTTAAATTCAATACACACTGATATTGATTAACATAACTGAGAAGCATTTCAACAAGAAGTATTAAAAGTAAACAGCGCTACTTGACCGAGATTATATCCTTCATGGGTGAATGTTAGTGTGTGATCTTGTATGAAATATATGTAATACGTAGTTAACACTAACACTTATAAATCTGCACATGCATTTAGAGCAAATATTGTTTGAAAAGTACCGCAAGGAGAGCAAGGGTTTTTCTGAAACATATAATTATATACTGGTAGCTTTGTGAAGTGATCTAAGAAGTAACGTAGTTAGAATACATTTTATGTAGTGCTCACAAGTACCTACCCTATCCTATCCCCCTTGCTGCAAGCCTAATTAATTGAAATTAATTAAACAAACTGTAAATTTTACCCCTTTCGTGCCTTAGTGCCTTACTGTCAATCCCCAAATCATCCCAATAGTGCATTCAGCACTAAAAATGGTCAATGGACTAAGTCCAGTCAGAAATCGGTGACCAATGAAATTCTTGGAATTGCAGAAATGACTTATAAGTAGTATAAGAAGTTTTATATTGTGTCTGTTATTTTTAATTCTCAAAGCAAGAAAAACTTTTCGCGGATGTCACAGCTTGCTCACATTTGTAAGCATTTTGGCATTTTTGTTTGCATTAGTGGTTCGTGTTTCAAATACCTTTTGGCAGTTGGGGTATCCAGAAATTTCTCAGTATGCCATAACAGTGGTTATTGGCCCCTCAGAGTCCACTTCACGAATATGGGTGGTAAGCAGTTCTAGCTTGCCATCATGCATGGCACAGTACAAGTCACGTGGTTGTTCATTGCCTACTACTACATTGTTTCACCTGCCCCACCACTACACCCCTACCCTGTGGTATTCTAATAGATTTTTATCGCCATTTTATAAATTGGTATAATTGTTACTTTTTTACTATAAATTCATCCTCTTCCACTAAAATCCTTCTTTTATTGTCATGAGTTCACTGTGGATGTGGAGGTCTCATGGCTGGGTTGCAGGCAGTGCCCACCAGGTGACCATTCTATCCTCCACTTGCAACAAATGTTGTTAATACCTGATATAAAATTGGGTTGAGTTTAAGAGGGTATCAGTCCCATAATTTTTCAAACTTAAGTATCTTCTAAACTGATACAAATAGAGTCAAACCTCTATTAAGCGGACACACTCAGGACCTTCCCCAGTGTCCGCTTAACAGAGGGTGTCTGCTTAATAAAGGTTTATAACAATTGCACAATGTTTGTTAACAATTAACATTCTACGGTTTCTCTGTACTGTAATAAAGTTCCAGGTTGTTAACGAAGCTATCCAAAGTTCACGTTCATCACCTTTCATTACCAACTTTAATTTGGGGTTAGGGTTGGGGTTGGGGTTAGGGTTAGTTAATGCCCTTTCCATACGGCAACGATAATACGGGTACATTTAATCGACTATTTCATCGACTATTTCAAGGACGTAATCCAATGCCACATTGTCAATCCAGTCCGGTGTCCGCTTAATAGAGGTTTTTAACAATAGAAATTAGCCAAATACAATTTATTTTAGTGTCTGCGTCTGCTTAATAGAGGTGTCCATGGAATAGGGCTTCGTTATAAAGGAAAGTATAAGAAGTTAATTTCAGGACCAGGCTAAGTGTCCACTTAATAGAGGGTGTCTGCTTAATTGGGGGTCAGCTTAATAGGGGTTACACTGTATTTCAAAACAGAGAACACAAGTTTTCATCCTTTGTGGAATTCTCTTTGATACCCAAAACTGGGTTGATTGTTTGTCCAAAGTTTGGTACATTGATTGACTCAGTTTGATGGACTGGGTCAATTGAGTTGACCAGGTAAGTGGAGTTGTTGGGTTGACTAGTAGATTGCTTGGGTTGATTGTGTTGGAGAAGTTGAGTGGGTTGGTTGGGTTGATCGTGCTTGATTGGTTTAGTTGGGTTAATTGAGTTGACTGGATTGGAATATTTGATTGGGTTAATTGGGTTGATACCATGATTGGGCTGATAGGGTGATTGAATTGATTGGGTGATTGGGTGACTGCTGGGTGATTGAATTGATTAAGTTTATTGGCTTGGTTGGGGTGATTGGCCTTTTGGGGGTGATTGAACTGATTAAGTTGATTGGCTTGGTTGAGGTGATTGGCCTGGTTGGGTTGATTGGCTTGGCTGTGTTGATTGGCCTGGTTGGGTTGATTGGCTTGGCTGGGTTGATTGGCTTGGTTGGGTTGATTGGCCTGGTTGGGTTGATTGGCCTGGTTGGGTTGATTGGCCTGCCTGGGTTGATTGGCTTGGCTGGGTTGATTGACCTGGTTGGGTTGATTGGCTTGGCTGGGTTGATTGGCTTGGTTAGGTTGATTGGCCTGGTTGGGTTGATTGGCCTGGCTGGGTTGATTGGCTTGGCTGGGTTGATTGGCTTGGCTGGGTTGATTGGCTTGGTTGGGTAGATTGGCTTGGTTGGCATGGGTTGATTGGCTTGGTTGGGTTGATTGGCCTGGTTGGGTTGATTGGCTTGGTTGGGTTGATTGGCTTGGTTGGGTTGATTGGCTTGGTTGGGGTGATTGAGTTGATTAGGTAGATTGGCTTGGTTGGCATGGGTTGATTGGCTTGGTTGGGGTGATCAGTGTGGTTGGGTTGATTGGCTTGCTTGGATTGATTGGTTTGATTAGGTAGATTGGCTTGGTTGACATGGGTTGACTGGCTTGGTTGGGGTGATCGGCATGGTTGGGTTGATTGGTTTGCTTGGATTGATTGGTTTGATTAGGTTGATTGGCTTGGTTGGGGCTTTTTGGCAAAAACACATTTTTGGGACATTTTCAGCCTTGATATGAGCCTAATTAGCTCCAGTCTATTCAAAAAGGTATTTGCAACATGACAGTTTACCTTTCTTTCCACTAGTACCACGCTTTATGACAGTTTTGCTCGGGCATGCACAGAAATCAAAATTCCAAGTGTTTGGATGAGAAAGTGGCCCACGTCTTTATGTTTTTCTAAGTTTTTTTTGCACCTTTCCTTTTTCTCTTTTTCTTATCTTTTTGCTGTAGTTACATTGTTGACCTTCTTCTAGGCTTGCTTACAGTTAAAGGATTTCTAGAAAGCATCATCGACACAGGAAGTTCTTACCACAAGTGTAGTTGAGGGAAACTTTACTCTGAATTTTTCACTCAAATTTCTGAGCATTTTCGTGTATATTTCAAGCTCAATTGACCCAATCACCCTGATCTGAGTATCATTGGAAAGATCCTTTCCTCCTGCAGAACATGAGTATAAGTGATGCCAATTTTGGTCAAAGGTGATGATGTCAGAAGTGGAAGAAAGGTCAATGCTCATCACAGCCAGTTAAAGCCGGCACAGGAGTCAATGGGTTAAGGTTTAACAGGTTATTGCAGGTAGATTAGCTCTTGTGTGCACAGCTTCTCAGTCACTTTAATGTATTACACACCTTAGACAAGGCAACAAGATACTGCTCAAATCTGGGTAGCATAAGCCTTCCACCATCATTGAGAAAACCTTTAAACAGAAAACAACAAAATAATCACACCACAAATCACAAGAGAGTCTATGTGATGGAAGGAGATCCACTCCTAAGAAATAACAGAGACATACAAAAAATGCAAGTCAAGTCTCCCAGAATGTAAATCTTTCAACAATATTTTCAGCCAAATCCTTGGCCTTCAAAGTATACATGTAGATATGACTGTATACATGGTGTGATAAACCTGAAATGTAAATTTTCTTGTTTCTGGTATGAAAATTGGTGTGAGAATTAACGCAAGATGAAGAATTTGTTAAAATAGAAAAGATTTACACAAGTTGAGGGGATTTCACAAGGAAATTTACGACATAACACGCTTCATTAAGCCTTCAGTCACATTAAAACAAGATTACAACAGTTACCTTATTTGAAATAATACATATATTACCACATTATATATTTTTTTAACATTTATATTTGTATGGAGAAAAATAAAGATGTTGCTGAAGAATCCCTTGCCTTTTAGATGTAGGAGTGCAATGGATGCTTACACTAAGTTCTAATTGTTTAATAAGAATGATAAAATCTTCAAGTGTGCACTTAAGATGGTATACTAGGACTTCGGTTCAAACATGAAACATACCAAAAAGTCCAATGGTTTGAAAGATAGATTTATAGTGGAGCTCTTTATAGCAGAGCCCCATAACTTAGGAACAGAACCACATGTATGCATACAAATAGAAAACTATGCAACTCTTTTTTTGTGGTCCAAATGGCTAGTGGCATGGATCGCAGATGTGTGCCCTACGAAGAAAAACAACGATGCTGCTCAACATGGTGGACATCGTGACCAAGGCATACAGCAATGGTTTAAAGTGTACATATTGGACATCCATGTTACGGTCAATTGACACCTGTCAAAACAAGTTGTCCGTTGACCAGTATCATATGACGATATCATGGGCTCAAGTTAAGAGCTCATCAAGACTGCATGTTTTTTTTTTAAGTTGACTGCTGACCAATTGCTGGTTTCTGATAAGATTGCACCCTCAATCTAGGCTCAGTTGATTGGAAGCCGGTTAACGCATCCCAAAGTGTTGACCGAACTACAAATTTTTCTTGTATTAAAATGTTTTAAACTGCTTATGTTTTGTGCAGCTTGAGGTTATTTTAACTCAAAACAGAAATCCAACCAATATAAACAGAAAACCCAAGTGCAGTTACAAAACTTAAATCAAACTTCTCGCTTATCCTGGGTTAGCTTAACCGCACATTGAACAAACCGGCCCAGAAGCTTCGCTTTTAGGCTTGGCTAAATCTTTACTAGTACTAATCAAAGATTATGAGAGTGCATTTGATGCTGTCACTTTAAAATGTATACCTTACATGATTTCACTAGCTGACTTTCAACCTCTGTCTTTTGCTAAAATCAACATTTTTCATCAACAACTGAGGTTTTACAGGCAGATATATCATAGTGTCAAAGTCCAGGTCCCCTATATAAACTACAATTTGTTAATACTTTGTGTGACGGCCCTAGTTTCCATAGACTCACAAGTTTAATAGAACTAAAATATTTACATTAGCTTTCAAATTTAGTGCTAAATAGTTTCACATTAACTGGTAATTTTTAAGCATAAAAGCTAATATGCAAAAGTAAATATTTTTATGCACATTATTCTAAGCTGGAAGCACAAATATAACCCAACATTTGCAATCACATGCTTTTTATTGTAAACAAACTTTGTGTGACTGATTCAAATATTTCCCCTGATGAATAATGTAGACAGTATTTTCATTGCTGTTCCTTGGTTCAGGCTCACTGAACCATGGATCTTGCCTTCAGAGTACTTTTCCACCGATTCTGAACAATATTTGACCAGATAAAGACTGAGCTATCTGTCACTAATACAGGGTTAACAGCCTAAAGCCAAGGCGATTCAAAGTTGTGTTCGTGAGCATAAATTATATAAAATAAACTATTGTCCTAGTCATGTCACAAAAGCATGTAATCTTGCATCCCAAATGAAAAAGGCCACATTTGTGTTGATTTGCATGGTACAGATAGAATTATAACCGCAAACAAGCGAACAATTGAGAAATTCATACTGACTCGTAAGCATGTGCTTTGCGATGACGTCATTTATTTTTGCCCCTGCTGCATTCTGCGGGGAGGCCAATTTTACATCCCAACATCCATCCATCTATCCCTTGTCAAAAAACCCCACTCCAGTCTGCATTAGGTCTGCATTCTGTTGAACATGATTATAATATACATGTAGCTAGACTTATATAATTTACAAATTTTAAGACACCATATTGAATTTATTGGGTTGGAACTTCAGGGGCCAGTACAGAAAGCACTGAAGAATAATGATGTTGGTTTATTGTACATGAGTGGAATTTGTAAGGTCCATCACTATGGTCAGAAACAAAACTTCCATCTGGGCATATAAATCTATTCCTTAATACTCAAAAACTGAAAACATTTTTTGATGTCAGACCCCTTTGCTTCCTACAAACTTTTTTAGTGCATCTGCAGACCATTTAGTCGTTATAAAAGAACATTTATTAAGTGATTATGTATTGAGCCACTGGGTTATTTAACTACTACAGCAGGTTCAAGTGAGTTGTAAGTGCCAAAGTCATGCAGATTTTCAAGTTAAAATAGAACTGAGTTTAGTTAACTGTTGCTGTATTTGACCCTGCAAATAGCTCATTACTGAACTTGTTGAGATGAGGTTGACATGATTTACTCACCAAATGATTTGCCTCAGTCACAATGTTTCTAATTCAAAGATGTAGACATTGCTCAGACCAATAGATTAAAACCAACTCGGTTCAGTGGCTGCAACACTCATTCATCATTCACTTTGCGTTCAGTGGCTCATAGCCACTTTGATTGATACAGGGCTTCCACACTATTTTAGTTTTACACAGCCTAGGCCATTAGGGTTACCTCGGCAGCACACATTTTATTTATTTCTTGTAGCAGTTGAGTCAGATCAAGAAGCAGCAAATCAGCAGCCCATTCTATGAATTGCTGACTCCTCCAATCATTGCCTTGCTTTTATTTCTCCAGCAATTCACATAAATCAATCCAAACAATGTGACTGTTATAAGTTTACGCTACTGCAATCCCAGACAAAAAAGTTGGGACACGAAGCAAGTTCTTCCCTCTCCCCACTTACAGTGTTGATAATCAGGTGATTTTTTTCCCTTTGTGACAAAAACAACGCAACATTTTCCAAAATTAATTAGGGGGATGGGGGATACATGATCCAACCAACTGTCCCAACTACCTTTGTCCGGGATTGTCTAAAAGAGATATGCAAGGAATTTTCCAGTGAAAGTACGTACTTATGTACGTACGTACATACATACATACATACATACATAAATACATACATTTTATTTGTTCTCAAATTAAAATTACAATTGTAACATGCCCGCGGATAGCTGAGCTAATCTAGGCGGGTCATGTTTGGACAAGTTATTAATATACAACTAGGTACAACTAAATACAACTGAAGGTAACTTTAACTTTGTCTCCCATTAGTCAACAGAGAAAAAAGAAAATGTCTAACCTAGCCAAACAGTAATGCCAATGATTGTCATTACATGTGACACAACAACTTGGTGCCATGTATTTAATTAATGTGCACGAATAACCCCAACGCTTAACCACTTGAAAGTCAGCATTTTGCAACCTAACCTTTGCTGTTCTTCCCAATTGACAGAAGGTACAAAAATTTCTCATTTCACATTATTTGAAATACAGGATGGAAGTAATTTGGTGGTCAAATAGTAGAGCTTGACACTAGAAATATGTTAACTGTTTGCCAGAGACAATAAGTTAACTACATAACAACCCTTTCTATTTCAATTGAACGGTTAACCACATAAACCTTCTCACAAAGCTCTGTTTTGCTAGTTGATGATCCCAGACAAGGTTAAATAGTTTTTCGTAATTCCTATAAAGCCGAAAAAGGTAATATATAGATTTAGCCAAGCCTAAAAGCGGAGCTCATGATTGCAATAACTGACGATAAAGGAAAAACAGAATTGTTTTTTCTTGGATCAGAAACTCAAAAAATGATCAATTGTGAGCATGCAATTGTTCAGCGTGTGGTTTTGCTATTTTTTCCAGTTAAATTTTAACAAACTATACCCAACAAGCCTAACCAAGATTGTAGAAATTATGTACGCAATATATCAGGGAATTTCCAAGAGACAATTGTACAAGGAATGTGTCAGAAGAAAAGTCAACAACGAGCCAGGGGTTAATTTGCACTGAAATTTTGCCTTTGCAAGTACTCTTCCTTCCCCTCCAGAGAAATAACATGACTTGAGCCCGCCATCCAATCGTTAAACCAGTAACTGGTCAGCAGTCAACTTTAAAAAAAAATACGCAACCTCAATGAGCTCTAAACCTGAGCCCACGATGTAGTCACGTGATACTGGTCAGCGGATAGCTTGTTGTGACAGCTGTCAATTAACTCTTGCGTGGACGCCCAAAATCAAAGATGTAGCTATGGTAATGGTGCTAGTTTTCAAGGTATTGGCATATGGACAGACGTACGTACATATGTACGGACAGTCACGTGACAAGATTTTTCAGATCGATGGGTTACCAAATTTTCTAAGGTATGGGGCTCCACTCACGCGCCTTCAGCACACAGGAGCTCCACTATAACTTGAATGACATGAATCAGTTTGGAACCAAAATGTTTTACCACTATGGTTAATCGTAAGGGTTAATCGCGGCAGTTAACCCGGTGACACTTCTGAAGCCAAGAACACACCTCGCTTTACACGCATTCTAGTATTAGAGGGGAAAATAAAGAGAGTCGTGCATAATTTCATCATGTTTAGGTAGTAGCAATGCTTTATTGCTGTCCACAGATGAACTCTGCGAAACAGGGAGGACAAGGCAAAAATATCCACTTGCTTGGTACCCACTGTTTCAACCAAATTTACATCATTTCAGCACGAATCAACCAACCCCTCTAAAGACATAGGCAAGGTCATCTTTTTCAGTGCAGGAAATAGAAACATCCTTTTCAAACACAATAACTTGTACATAGTTGGATTTTAGGGGTGAGCACCTGAGCCATTTGCTACGAGAGAAGCAATAGAAGGTCATGTCATGGTCATTTAGAAAGATGACTTCAGGTTCTTTAATGCCTACCCAGGTAAAAGTTGTCATTGCATGATGATGTCTTTTATTAGTAGCACTCATTAGCTGTACCCCACAAGATGGTACTGCCCTTTCCTCTGACCTTTGCTACAGCGAGTGGTGTGACATTCTTTAAATTCTTCTTTCAGACAATCCCAGACAAAAACGTTGGGACACAAAGCAAGTTCACTTACAACGTTGATAATCAGGTGATTTTTTCCCTTTTTGTCGAAAAAAAAAAACACAACATTTTCCAACACTGACTAGGGGGGATGGGGGATACCTGATCCAGCTCAACTGTCCCAACTAATTTTGTCTGGGACTGTGGACAGAGAACAGCAAGATTATTTTTCACGTAATTATTCAACTTTCAGATGTGGCAGCAACATATCTTGGAGCTATATTTTGGACTTAGATCAGAACTGGTAAGCAAAGTGGCCCACGATGGATCTCAGAACTGCCAAAGTCCCATAACTCTAGGAGCAATGAGTCTGCTAACAATTTTTATTTTCAAGAAAATCAAAGAGCAACTGCAAGGCATCACCCTCATCAGCCATTGAACAAGAAGGTAGGCTTTGACTTATTATTTGCATGAATTATTTCAAAATATCTCCAATCCTAGAACATAATGAATGCTAAACTTTTTTACAGTGCATGAATCAATTGCCATGAAACTCTACTACATAGCCCAGACAGTTACAGGGCTTGCCCAAAGCTTTTTAAGGGAGGAAGCACTTTCATTTAAAACTAACTTGTTTAAATCAAGTCTACCACCTCAGTAAAAAAAATATATACTGCACAAAAACTGGTAGTTACTTCAGTCTTTAGTTTTCCCTTTCATAAAATCTGTTTTTGTTTAGTTGCAGATCAAGAGGCAGAAAACCAGACAAATAATACTTTACCATCCAGAGAGGGCATAACATCAATGTAAACTCTGTACAGGTACGGCAGAGCATCCTAGAAAGTGATAACATGTCACTAAGTTAACAAAATTGTAATTACAGTACTGCAGTGGTATTGAAATCAATCATCATATTTCTTTTCTAGTGATATATCTGTAAACTAGCTGGTGAACTACTCTAGAGCACCACCATAGTTAAACATATATTCACATTAAACCAGTATTGTATTGCATGGCATCACACAGGATGGCATGGCATTAAATTAGTCAAATTTCTGACACTATTTAATTTGTCAGCACGATTGCAGGTGGCTTTCAACACATGTCTCTGAAATGAAAGAAACACTTTGTGTCCCAAGCAGGATTCAAACCTGCATCTCCCCAAATATTAGTCGGGCGTGATATCCGCTGCACCATCAGGCAACCACACTGGATACATGGCAACTTGCTGTGGTGAGTAGATCAAACACGGCCAACTCAAGGCCCTTTTTTCTTTTGAGACATCTGTGTGTTTCATGGCAGCAGTTTTCTCTTTCCAAACTTTGTCAGCGGCAATGCTTGGCAAATGGGTCACAGCTCACGAAAGGATTTTTTTCTTGGGCAAGAACTGCTCTTGGATGTGGGTAAATACTTTTGAGCAGAACTGTAAGTTACAATCAATAGGTAATAAACAGTAGTGGTCTGCAATACAAGACTGCCTGCAATGTTTAGCGCATTTTTTGTAGATGTCCATGTACATGTACATCATAGTTAAGGTAATTCGTGAGAGGTGAAATATTTTTTTTGCCTCAAAAAATTGAACATTTAAGGAAGGGGGCGGGGGCATCTTATGTGAAATTTCAATGCAATCCTCCCATTGTGCTCATACTTATAACTTTAAATCCAAAATTGTATTAGCCTATCAGCAACATATCATTAGTGAAAAATATAAATTTAATTATATTGAAGTTGCATTTAAGTTTACTGCTTACTTACATGGTTAATGTGTAGATTTGGCAGGTGTGGGATAAAATCATTCCCAACAAGAAATCCCATTAGAATCCAGTCATCTATGATTCTCTCAAGATCATAAGGAAAGGGAAGTTTCTCCTGTGAGATAAAATTAACTATTTGTCAAACTAATTCATTGTAAAGGAATTTAATGACATTACTTTTGTTTTGTTTTTTTACCAATTTTTAAAGTTAACTTTTTGTAACATTAAATCAATGTATGTGCCTGCAATTATACAAACTAATAAAAAAAATATTGTGCAAGTAACTGAGTAAGCGAGCTGTTGAAGGGTCTCCAAACCATTTACAGAAGTTTTCAATTTTGAGCATTTTCTCAAAAAATCTCCAAAATGACTTGTAGAAAATTGATTTGGTGTCTTGGGTAAAGCACAGACACAAGGATTGAATCCTAAAAATATGGATAACCACTTCATATACAGGAAATTATGACATTGCACTATTGAGATTTCATGGATAGTGGTTTCTCCCATGTGATGAGTTACATCAAAAACATTCTTTTTTGGTGGAGTAATCTCACTCAAAATTTCCTTGTGTTCAAAGTAGACAACCCATGATGATCAGCTTTTTTGTGTGCTTGCTGTAGCCAAGAAAATTTTAATAGTCAAGAAAACCAGTGAAATAGGTTGTAAGGTCCAAATCAAAATGCTTTCTAAGCCAACTTGTGATATCTATATTCAGATAACATAGCCAGTAAAACAAGTCATTTGCTGAGCAAATTGAGTGATTTCCAACAGTAAAGTAACAGTAGTAAAACAAGTCATTTGATGAGCAAATTACGAGTGATTTCTAAGTTCAATTTCCACTCCTGTCCCGAACAGCAGCTGGTAATCAAGCCTAAGTGACTTCCAGCAGAAAACCACAGCAATTTGAATCTGTAGACTACTGTGTGAATCATTTGGGCCTGCAGTGGTAGTCAATCAAAGCAGGTGACTCTGAGTTCTTCATGAATAATTCATCAGTTGAAGGTTGGCAAAGTGGTTTAACTGCTGAAGGTTGTGGGTTTGAATCCTGGCATGTAAACTTTTATTTTCTCCTAAGCTACATGTACTAACTGATGGTTGCAATTTCAGTATTGTGCAAAAGTAATGCAAACAAATTCATCAAAGTCTCATCAGGCGAATTTTCCACAAAATGCTGTTGAAATTTTGGAAGATGTTTTGAAGCATTCTAATCGAAAAATTCACAATCTTTCTCAAAAATGCAAAGTAGTAAATTTTCAAGGTAACCAGACAGAAATTTGAGATAGCGAGAGTCAAAGCAACAAACTTTTGTGGTGTGAACCGGCATGAACAACTTCTCTGAACAAACTTATTTAATAATTGTTGGATGTTGTCCTTCAGTAGAATTTTAAATGAAAATGGTAAAAGTTCAATTGACGCCTTACACTACTGTAAAATGATATTAAAATCGTTTTAAAAAATCCAAGCTTTCGCCGATCTACGGCATCATCAGGGATAAGAAAAAATATTCTGCGTAAGGCTTATATACAGATGTAAAGTAAAAACGTGTGAAAAGCGAAAGAATGTGGGGGGTAAAATGCATGAGCTAAATAATAAGATACAAATATGAATAAAAATGAATGACATGATCTAAGTACAAAGAGTCTCTAAATATGTTAAAATAATTATTAGAATAAAAGGTCTGCAAATTCACTGCATTCCTCTTGGGAGTTGAGGGCAGCTTTGTAGTTTCATATGTAAAACACTTCGAACAGTCGTAGATTTGCGGGGTCGTTTTCTAGTACAATGGTCTTGATTTCGATGCCTTTGTGGACTTTGTTTTGGCACTTTGAAATGTGTTTCTTCACGGAGGAGTTGTCATTGTTCAGGTGTTCTCTTACTCAATCGTGGATAAAGCATGTAGTGCTCCTGATGTAGTATTGGTTGCAGTTGTTACACGTGATTTGGTAAACAGCGTTACGTAATAAGCACAATTTGGTGCTGGAGATAGGGCAGTTGGCCCTCGTGCATGTCCATTCCGTGTGACCTTTATGTCATGCATTGCCATAACTCTGAAATCCGAAATGCACTGGTTTCCAAACCAAGCACACTATTGAGCTGAAAATTTTAAACTGATATAAATTTAGCACCCTTTACACCTGATGAGGACAAAAACTTTCATGGCTCCGTAATGTTGGATTTTGGAATTTGATGACATGATATGAAAACGATCTATTAAGTGTCTATATCATCTGAGCATCCACATTAAGTGGGATCTCGGAAAAAAATGTAACTACAGATGCATGTTATCAGGAAACATTGAACACCTGCAATGTGCAGATAACAAGTGTCTGTAAAACAAGGTCGACTGTACAAGAGCATGTCCCTTAGGTCATAGAATGATCACAGAAATGTTTTAGTGCTACATAATATTATTCGCATCTGTAAGAAACAGGTCAATGTAAAAGAAAAGTATGATATCTTCGTAAAGACATTATTTTCAATAAGTGGAACAACGAAGCTGTGACGGATTGAAGCTTTCAGAGACGTATTGAACAGATTTAAATGACAAAAATTGATTGTTGATTGTTAAATGCACTATAATTTTGCTCAAAATCTTACTACATATCAACACAGGTCAGATCAGGGCAGATTGCAAAATCCGAGAACTGAGAATATGCCTCAGTTTGCTTTTTATAGCATTACACTCTCCCTATTCCCGTGAACTGTAAACACCAGGGGATAAGCTGCACCTTTTTACTCAAGAATTCTCCTTAAAAATTGGGGATGCAGGTTATCTGCGAGAACATCTGGACAACATGCCATAAATTTGCTTAAATTAACACTTTTCATCAAAAATTTATAAGATAGTATAGCACTGTAAGAACTTCATAAAACTAATAATTCTTAGTTTGCACATGACTAAAGAGCCACCAAAGTTATTATCCTCATCAGGCATAAGTGGCAGTAACTTTTCAGCTCAATAGCTTGCTTCGTCTGAAAACAGGCACCTTTTGAATTACAGAGTTAAATGTAAGGTGGTGCATGACATTAAGGATGTGTTTGTTGAAAAATATATACTAATCTAGTGATTTTTAGCCTTTTCAGAAGTTAAAGTATTAGGAAAAGTGCTTATTTAAATGTTTACTTGATCAGTTCAGATAATCAGTCACCTAGATAGCCAAAGCAAGTTTCCAGTTGTTTACACTATTTTCCGGCTGCCATGTTGGTGTTCCATGGAGGTACACCAACATGGCGGCTCCATACTGGGCTCTAAAAATTTGTGCAAAATATTTCAATGAATATTTGAAGTTTGAGAAAACGTAAAGACCTAAAACTTGGAGAAGTGTCTTGTTTATTTCTCTCCTATAACATCATAATTTCTTGACTTTATACATTGAATGGTTTTCGAATTATTTTTTTTATTGTGACAGTGTAACCCAAAAATATCAAAGTATTGCTCGTACACATTGGCCCCTAGCAGGACCATTTTTGTTCGCAAGCGTAAGCTTACATTTCTTGCTGTTAAAAAGCATTAACCCATTGACGCCTGAATGAAATGCCTGTGACCCACCCCTAATTCCCTGGCGTTTTTTTGGAATATTTCAGAGCGAGCGAAAGCACAAAAATAAACCATATGCGCAGTAACGACAGACACAAGATCAGGTTTCAAGACATCGTTTATTTAAAGTTGAATAATTGAAGGGTCAAAATATTAAAAATAATGACAAAAAGAACTCAACCTGATGTGTAAAACTGATAAGTAAACAAGAAATTATATTATTTCTTTACCGTGCAACAAAATGTCCCACAGAGGCTGAGAAAATTGACTTCGCCAAAATGAGTTAATTATTGACTTTGGAGGACAAAAAACGAAACCAAATTCAACAGAATTTCATTCTTGTACNATATCTAGCTTTCCATTCCTAATATACAAGCAGCTCGTCTGCAAAGGAGTCTTCCCCTTCGTCGCTTGAAATATTGTAAATTGCTCTCAAAGCTCTAAGCAGTGAGTTCACAGTTGTCGAGCGTGCTCAATCAAAGTTTATTTCGGAGTCTTCCAAATCAAAACTCAACTCTGACTCCAGTGACGAAAAGGAAATGATTCTGAAACAAAACTTGGAGGTTTTAGTCCCAAAATACATTGGAACAATTGTTTGTTTTTTTTACATTTTCTCAAGCAAATACAGAGAGCTGACTGAGGCGCCATTGTGTTTGGTTCCTGGGTAGACATCATCAACAACCGCTGCCCCACACTCCCTAAAACGCGGTTGCATAACACTTCAAGCATGACTTTGAAAGGGCATAGAAAATCGAGGATTCAACCAAATTAAAAATTTTTTCACCCAAATGCTTCAAATAACAAGTGGATTCGTTTTAGTGAAAAAATTTTGGGGGGTTAGGTGTACTTAACCCATTGACGCCTGAACGAAATTGCCTGCAACCCACCCCTAATTCCCTGGCGTTTTTTTGGAATATTTCAGAACGAGTGAAAGCACAAAAATAAACCATATGCGCAGTAACCACAGACACAAGATCAGATTTCAAGTCATCGTTTATTTAAAGTTGAATAATTGAAGGGTCAAAATATTAAAAAATATTAACAAAAAGAACTCAACCTGATGTGTAAAACTGATAAGTGAACAAGAAATTATATTATTTCTTTTTCCGTGCGAGAAAATGTCCCACAGAAGCTGAGAAAATTGACTTTTCAAAAATGAGTTAATTATTGACTTTGGAGGACAAAAAACGAAACCAAATTCAACAGAATTTCATTCTTGTACTATAACGGCTAACATTTGAGAAAACAACGAAAAATAAAAGTGAAGAACTCATGCAAAACTCAATCTGAAAACAAGAAATCAAGTAATTTCTTCGCCGCACGACGAAAATATCACAACGCTGCGGAAGAAAGATGAAAGTCGTAAATCAAAAAGACGACAAAAACAAGCGAATTATTTTGAGATCAGTCGAATTTCAACTGTGTTAATTAGTGGCCATTTAGTNTCAAAATATTAAAAAATATTAACAAAAAGAACTCAACCTGATGTGTAAAACTGATAAGTGAACAAGAAATTATATTATTTCTTTTTCCGCGCCACAAAATGTCCCACAGACGCTGAGAAAATTGACTTTGCGAAAATGAGCTAATTATTGACTTTGGAGGACAAAAACGAAACCAAATTCAACAGAATTTCATTCTTGTACTATAACGGCTAACATTTGAGAAAACAAGAAAAAATAAAAGCGAAGAACTCATTTAAAACTCAATCTGAAAACAAGAAATCGAGTAATTTTTTCGCCGCGCGACGAAAATATTACGACGCTGCGAAAGAAAGATGAAAGTCGTAAATCAAAAAGACGACAAAAACAAGCGAATTATTTTGAGATCAGTCGAATTTCAACTGTGTTAATTAGTGGCCATTTAGTTCTTTTCTCAGCGGTTCTGTAGTAGCTGAATAAGATTCCAAAAAATATTTTAACGAAGCTAATAAACTAAATAAACTAATTGCCTGGAGTTCGCCGTAAATTAAATATGCAGAAATCCAGCGTGCAAATTACTGTTCACTTTTAAAACCTAAAATTCCCAAATACAGGGAACCAAATGAAAGAAATGCAGAAGGAAGTTCAATAACAATAAATTTTCATCCAAGCTGCGGCGAAGAAACCTATTTAAAAGCAAAAAATTGTTCAAATTTCGCAGACGTGCTTCGCTGCATAAACAGCATGTTCAAATTATTCTTCACACTAACGCGAAAGCTTGAGTTTTGTCCAACCGCTTTTGCAGTCATTTATACGCCCGTGGCTTTACCAATCATTCCGAAAGTTGAATTCAAGTTCGAAGTAATAATATACATTACCCTTTTTGTTTCTTAAGTCCGAAAAGCTGCTTTCAATCTGCGATCTGTCGTCAAAACTTACTTGAAAGCGCTCCGATCTTCATGTTTTCACGGCAGTTGTGGGAAGAAAAACTTCTTCACCAGATAGTTTTGAGGATGCTGTACTCCTTGATCCTCCATTCTGAGGCCACCTAAACATTGATTTGTATTTTTCCTTTCTATTTTAAAGCCCAAATCAGTAATTTATCCGTGTTAGGGATGAAAACAAGACCTTGGAAGTTTTTAGATTTGGGCCGCGACGCGCCATGATTACCTGCACTTTTCGAGCGCGCAATTTTAAGAAGAAAAACCATCTTTCTAGGACCCCTAAAGTCCTCTAAAAATATGTTCAGAAAGCCCATTCTGATTGGTTTATTTGTCCTCAAGAACAATAGAACAATAGGAGAACAAAAAGTCTTCAGGGAGGGTAGGAAAGGCAATTGTCCCCACATGCTTTTTTTCGGGCGGTTACGGGCGGCACAGGGAAATGGAGGAGTTTTTCACACGGGCGGTTACGGGCGGCACAGGCGTCAATGGGTTAAACCTTCGTTAAAAAATCTTTGAACCAGTTTAAGGTTGCCATTTTAAGGCAAATGAACATCGTTCAGCAGGAAATCTCCATTCCACCACAAAGCTGTTTACATTGTCGCACTGAAATGAGCTGTGATCAAAGAAAGCTTCAAAAGCTATTTGTGCCCAGTACTCCAATTCAACTCCTGTGAAATGCCTGGCTACTAAGCTACACATGAACCAACAAAAGAGCTCTTGCGTTGAATGTAAAATTGTATTGAAAAACTGACAGGAATGAAAACAAAAATACTGGTTAAAAAATACCAGAGAGAGATCAAACATATGTCAAAGCTAGTAGACATCATTTCCATGCTATTGCAGAACAAAAATTATAAGTGATGGTTTCAGATTGAAGCATTCTCTGTTTTCAAAGTTGGTGAATTTTTGCAGGTTTGCTTTCAATAAAACAAGAAATTTACATGTAAAGATCTTTCTCAAGACTCCACTTTTAATTTATTTCGATTTCTATCCAAAAACGTTTTTTCAAAATTTGAGTTGCCAAACTTGAGGTGCGGCTTATCTGCAAGTGTGGCTTATCTGCCAGTGTTTAGGGTAGTTTGTAAGTGGACCAAAGAAGGTCTAAGGAGGATAACATACTAAAGGTAGTGGTGAATGGTTTACAGTCTTCAAAATGTACAATTTTCTTTACAACAGCTGTTTGTTTTCACCACTTCAAGCCTCCAGAGTGCAATAATTTTCCAATAGTGGGGCCTAACAGGCCTTTCAATTAAATTTTGTTTAGGAAGTGCTCAAAATTGGAAATCACCTGAAAATTGTAGTGGCCATAGTGATCTTGTATCAAGACGCTACCTACAGTCTATAATTGTGATTTGCAGGGGTTTTCAGTAACGCCAATGTAATTTTTGTCTGGAATACACATGGCTATAACTTGTATATTTAGTGGTTATATACTGCAGGGATCTATATTCACAGTCGTCCCGTCATCTGTGACAACAACAAAATCGTAGGGACCTAAACAATACAGAAACTTGTCCAAAAAGACAAGTTTATAATAATAATAATAATAATAATAATAATAATAATAATAATAATAATAAATTAGTTTGACTCCACTAGGAAAAAAAACATTTCTTAAATTTTGTTTATGAGTTCCCTGCATCCTGACCACTTGTTATCCATTTGAAACTTGTAGAAAACAGATAGAGATTTGCAGCTTTCTTTCGCAATTTCGCGATTAAATCGTCATTTTGGTCCACCATCTTGGATGAAGTGAATGAAATCACTGCAGGTTCAATTTTCATTTTGTCAACCAATGATGCTCTGTACTGCATCCGCAGTACAAACAAAAAGAAATGCTAAAAACAAAAAACATGTGATGCAATTGTATCAGCAAATACGAGCAGGAAGAGCAAAAACGTTCCTTTCAGCCTTCATGGCAGTCGAAGAGGCCTTGGTTTTCTTCAGAAGGGCCTTATGCATATCCGCCTTATGTCAAATGTTAGGTTATATTTTGCTTTTTACGCTCTGAATTTCCAGAAAAAAGCTCAAAACAAGTTTCTGCTCCACAACAAAGCAAAAAACTTTGTCTCACTTCAAGTTTTGAAAACAATAATTTTGTCTTCACTTCAAAAAACAGCAAAATGTTGATTTCAGGTCAACAGGCGATCTTAAAGACGTTTTTTTCACTTAAGAAACAGTAAAATGTTGATTTCATGAGAATGCATGACCACAGAGATGCTCATTTCACATAAAAAACAGTTCAATGTTGATTTCATGTCAACGCGAAAGCTCAAAGATTTTGATTTCACTTAAAAACACTAACATCTCGTTAATTTCAGGTCAACGGGCCACCTCACAGGCGCTTTTTTCACATAAGGAACAAAAATGATGAAATGTTGATTTCACAAGAATGTGTGACTGCAGAGATGCTTGTTTCACTTTAAAAAAAACACATAAGTTGATTTCACATCAACGGGAAAGCTCAGAGATGTTGATTTCACTTTTAAAAAATACACACATGTTGATTTCACATGAAAAGGCAACCTCAAAGACGCTTTTTCACTTGAGAAACAGTTAAATGTTGATTTCACGAGAATGCGTGACCACAGAGATGCTCATTTCACTTAAAGAAGGCAGTTGTTGGCCATTATCTGTGGTACTCCCTGTGTCAATAACTACGTAACTCGGATTATGGGGCATCAAAGGAACCAAAGAATCCTTGCCCAAAGTGGTTCTTTAAAATGTGCTGATGACTTACAGGTTTATCAAGGCTTTATGATGCCTCTCAACCACCAGGCAGGCATGCAAGGTGTTTTACATGTAAAAGAGCACTTAAGAGCTTCATATCTCTTTTCTGTCCAATAGTATTTCCGCTGGCGCTTACTCCAACTTAGCGTTGTGTTTCATGTCACAATAACCGATGTAAACAACCTGGTTCCCAGATTCCCACTTAATTTCCTATTTTCCTTTGGCTTACTAGAGGACAGCAAAGATTCTGAGGGATTTGATTTTGACTTTGAAACCTATATACAGAAGCTACATTTTATGTGTCGTATTGGCATAGGACGCCGCCATCTTTACTTGAGAGAAAGCTATCTAGACTCAGGCAGATTTTCTTCCAGAAATGTGCAGCATTTAAAATATAATTTGTAGTTAATTTCCCAAGATTGAGGCAACCCCTAGGATTTCACGGTAATGGTCGTTTCCAGTATCGTGTCGTTACTGTGATTCAGAAATAACAGAATCAAAAAACTGTTTGCCATAGAAATCTTCAGCCTTGCTGATCAAAATTTATTTGATAAAAGGTTTTTTTTTTCTTTTCTAATTCTCAACAAGAAGAGTAATTCTTTTGATTAGCACTCTGATTATATATGAAACTAAAACATTTTCCACCTTATTGCATCCATCCCAAAGTGCATTGCATGGCATGTGAACGGGCAAGTAAAATTTTGCCAGGGCAAGTATGTCATCTGGCATACTTGCCCTGCTGACAACTTGGAGAAAAAACTAATATGGATCCCTCTACCAGTAGTACCCAAGAGACAATCCTTAGATTATTTAACTTTTAAGTCACCTTTAGTTCACTAAATTCCCAATCCAGATATTCTCTGAACAGGGACAGGTGAAGAAGATGAAAAGTCGTCTTTTCAGGCTTTGTTATTCTGTAATAAAAGGCAAAAATAAATAACCTGTTACCGGTAAACAAAGTAATTCATTCCCTTCCCACAATCTACAGTTTTATCAAAGGAAGACTTAAACACCCCCACACATAAAAATTTGTTGTGCATGTATACATGTATACATAATCCTGTGTGAAAGTGTGTCAGTAGTAATGGAGACCAAACATTTTTTTTTAAATAGCTGGGGCTAGCAGTGGACCAATATAACAACAACAACAACATTTATTTATACCAAAAAAAAAGGAAAGAAGAATACAATAATTTGAAGCTTATAAATGAGGTATTAGCTGCCTATAACAACCATAAGGCTAAAAAAATTAAGCAGTTATCTAGTGGATATGACAAAAATTACAGTAATGTGTATTAAAATAATATAAAGCAAAAGTAACTTAATAAAAATTATTAACAAACATAGAAGCCTCAACTGTGCTCTGTTGTGTTGTACAGCACACAGGAAGCAGTAGAGCAGGAAAGAAGTGTAGGGGGAAACATGAGATGAAGTCAAGTGTTTCTCCCTACTTCTTGAGTGCCCTACCACTTCCTAAGTGCTTGACAACAGAGTACAGTCAAGGCTTCTTTATATGTTTTATGATAAAGAATCTATTAATTTTCCAGACATTTGGCTGCATTTTCAAACCAAACTTTATTTTCCAAACGGGAAAAAGTGGCATCAGCCTGCATCTGTTCTCTGATAAACCACACCAAAATAAGCCAATCATGATCCTTGTTAAAATTGTTCAAATAATCTGATTGGCTAACGAGACAACAGCTGACAATCACAAACTGGACTTCTGCTAAACTTTCGGTTTTGAGTGGCTTTCGAGAGGAGAAAGTTTGAAGTTTGCTTTTAAGTTTAATCTTTAAGCACCTAAAGGTTTCTTGTCCAGAGGAATCAAGCTGCATTAAGGCTCATGAAAATGTAATTTTTTCCAATGGAAATTACAAAACAAGAAGCTCAGAGCTTACGGATGAAAATGCAAAATACTGAGCTCTATTTGAAAGGAGCTCCAGTTATTTACTACTGGCTGCTGCTTGCAGCTGCTTACAGCAAGATTGCCTGAACTAACATCAAAGTTGAAAGACTAAACTGCTCCCACTGGTTCTACTCTGAGTACAGGAGAGAATATCAGAGCAATCTTTCAACTGATCACTCGTTGGGTGAGTGTACAGTAGATATGAAATTGTTATGGTTCACTTCGCTGAGATGACCAGAGCTGACATCGCTAGTTAGCAAACGAGTGTTACTACATTCCATGTATGTGTTGTTTGAGCATTTTTACAAAAAAAAAAGCTTCTCAATATAAACTGAAACAGCTCAATTGGTGTTTTCTGCCATTATTTTACATGTATAGTGTAATTTCTGCTTTTGTAACAAATATAATGTCTTTTATCTAAGCATTCAGTAGGTTGACAATTTGTTTATTTGGCTACATGATTACTGTTTTGTATGCAGGAATCTAGCAAAACTTGTTGTTTTATTACAGTTTTAACACTACTGTTGTCAAAAATGGCCTCCATGCAGCCATGTTTACTGCAAACAAATAGCTTGTTTCCCTTGTGTTTGTCTGAGTCACAGGGAACGTTTAATTTCAGTCAAATTTGTCAAAATTCCGAAGCAAGAATTTGAAAGCCAGCTTACCGTCACCAATCTGTGCATCTGTTCTCTGATAAAGCACACTGTTTCAGCCAATCAGAGCGTGAATTATGTGGAAACTTTATAATAAATAGATATATAAGGGTAAGGAAAAAATAGTCATCAAATAGAACGCAGCTGAACAAGAACAATAACTATTAGAAAGTGAAGCTATTTTGTTAACCTAAAACATGAAAATGAGATATGATGTGTTTCCAGCAATTTCCAAAACTGATAATTTGAAATACCACAATAAGGGTGTCAACCTAATGACCCATCGTTGGTAACATATTATAGACCTGAAAAAGGCTATTTTTCTTCATCATGGAAAGGTACAATATACTGTAACAACACATTGTTGCTTGTCTCATGATTTTCTGTACATTTATTTCCCACTTAGGAAAAAGACAACTCAAGAACAATACAGAACAGTTGGACCAGAATTACAACTTCAAAAATTGAAATACCTAGTGGAACAATTACTGGTCTCCATTTGATACATTGTATTTTTCTCATTGCCATTAATCATGCTGGCACTGACCGGTGCTGGGGATCACTAATTATATTCTTTTTCATTCACTAAAAGTCTATCTTTGAAGATTTCTAAAAACAAGTTTAAGCTAGGGGGATTGTTGTCTAGCTTCCAAAAGTAGATATGCCATTTGGGAATAAGGATAACGTACTTTAGTTAACAATTATGTATGTGAGCTCATTGAGAATGAACCCATTCACAGTCCTTCTACCTCACTTATCTCATGATTTAGTTCCTTGAAATGTAGATTGCATCAATTCAACTACTCAGTATCCCATGGCTGTATTATGGTAAGTCACAGTTCACCAGCTTTTAGTAATGGAATTGATGCCACGATCACAGTCCCTGAAGGCATCAGACAGCATTGCCAAGAACATCAAGCTGAACAGCATCAGGGCCAGGACACAACCCTGTTTGACTCCGTTGGTCACTGGGAAGGCTTCAGATGGTTCACCGTTGTTGAGGACTCTGGCCATCATGCCATCATGGAATTGGCAGACGATTGTGATGAAAGTGCTCGGGCAGCCGAATTTCTCCATGATCTTCCAAAGGCCTTCCCAGCTGACCGTATCGAAGGCCTTGGTCAGGTCAACGAAGGTCGTGTAGAGGTCGTAATGCTGTTCCATGCACTTCTCCTGGAGCTGACGAGCAGCAAAGATCATATCACTGGTCCCACCACCCACACAGAAGCCACATTGGCTCTCAGGGAGGTGGCCTTGCTCCAGGTGCTCCAGCAAGTGGTTCAGCAGGACACGGGCCAAGATCTTGCCTGCTATAGACAGGAGGGATATTCCTCTGTGGTTATCGCATGCCTGGCAATTGCCCTTCCACTTATAGATGTGCACGAAAGTCTGGGAGAGAAGAGTAATCAGCCTCAATACCAAGCTCAAAGTCTACCATGCTGTGGTCCTCACCTCCCTACTCTATGGCTGGGAAACCTGGACTGTGTACAGATGGCATGAGAAGCTGATCAACAACTTTCATCTGCGGTGCCTCCGAAACATTCTCCACATTCACTGGCAGGACAAAGTCTCGGACACAGAAGTCCTGAAGCAGGCAGACCTTCTCAGTGCCACCACTGTCATGTGCAAGGCCCAGCTGAGATGGGCAGGCCACGTCTCCCACATGCCAGCTGACTGTATTCCAAAGCAGCTCTTCTACGGGGAGCTCTGCTCTGGCAAGTGCACAGTTGGAGGGCAGCGAAAGCGCTACAAGGACAGTCTAAAAGTCTCCCTAAAAGACTTCAACATCAGCATTGAGTCCTGGGCGTCTCTTGCCTCCGACAGACCCTCCTGGTGCCAACTCACCACCAAAGGAGCCCACGCAGCAGAGGAACGCAGGTCCCGTCAAGCCGAGGAGAAGCGAGCAGTACGCAAGGAAAGAGCCACCAGTACTAACAGCACAGCCCCTACCCACTTCTGCCCTACCTGTGGGAGAGGCTTCCTTGCCCGGATTGGTCTCATCAGTCACCTCCGGACACACCATAGAAATTTATTTTTAACAACCTAGATGTCTTTGGTCATCTTAGACTACGAAGGACGAACAACATAGCTGATAAAAATGGTATTAACTAAAGGTCATACCACTGAATTGTACTGAGCATCTTTACTGCAAGTAATAATATATTTTTCACATCATTTAACACACCATTAGGAGATTTCTTTCAAGCTAAGCTCAACAGAGAAATAAATGAAGGGGTGCATTGAAAAAGACCCCAAGTGACATCTGATAGACTGCATGACTCTCCTAGCAAATTGCTTTTTGTTTCCTAGTATGAAAAAAGGAGAATTCAACATGAGATCTTGAGTCAGTTAAGGCTTTTATCCACGCACCCCTTCAAATGGTGTTTCTCTCCTAAAAAAGCAAATTGGCTCCCACTTTTTAACCCAAAAATTAAAATGGCAAATAGGTGACTAAATATGTCACAACCTAAAGAAAAGATAACATTTCTGCTTCGAGATAAATTATTTTCATTTGAATGCTGTAAAGAACACTTTGTCAGGAAATGCTGGCTTGCAGTGAACTTTTTAATTTGTTTTATCACTTTCATTTCTTTCCCATTAAAATAGTTTATAATACAGGACCAAAGACAAGTCTATTGAAAGACTCTAATATGTTAATGTAAGAAATGATTTGTCAGCAAATTAATTATCTTCCCTTTCAGATTACTTGTCCATTCCCAAGGGAAACCTCCCAGGTCCAATAGTTTCTGAAAGTTCTGTCCATATTGTGCAAGACAGAGTGACCCCCCCCCCCCCACCCACCTTTCACTACATTTTGCTAAAAAATTATACATAATATGATTATGAAGTGGATGAAGTTTGAGAAGTGTTTCTAATACTCCCGCTTTTTCAATGGAATCATCTTAAACACAATAATAAATTTCAAACTTCCTTTATTGACACGTACTTGCAAGGGTGATGTAGCAGCTCTCGTAAGGTCTCACATGAATGGCTTGCTACCATTTGAGAGAACAATAAAACAAACAACAGAAACAATGCCCCTAGCCCTAAAAAAATAACAGCTGCTAACAATGAAGAGAATTACAAGCTTACGAGAGCTGCTACACTTCTGATTTTCAAGTCATTTAAACAAACCTTTTGGCAGCTTTTCCAAACCTCACTTCTTCTCGAAGCAGAGAAAAATGAGGTTCGTGTGATGAGAGCCCAAGCATTATCTGGTAAAGTAAGAAGATCAATAACATCCAGCATAAACAAAACAATAATTATATTTAAAGTAAGACCAATGACCAAAAAGGAAGAAAAGTACGATCAGGTATCTTTGATGGCAAATAAAGGAAGAATTTAGGGTTTTATTAAGACAAAAAGTCACCACACTGTAATTTTTAGTAATCTTATTGTATTTCTTAAATGTGATTCTTATATGTACTATTAAAGCTGTGGTTTCGTAGATATTTTCATTTGTTTACTTTTTAAGTTCTACAGGACCCTTTTGATAACAGTACTATTAGTACTGATGGGCTTATGCTGTTTTAACATTTGTTTTACTATTATTATTATTATTATTAGTATTA